TCTATCTATCTATCTATCTATCTATGCACCTAGTTGTCTATCCATCTCTCCATCTCTCCATCTCTCTCTCTCTCTATCTATCTACCTAGCTGTCTGTCTGTCTATCTATCTATCTATCTATCTATCTATCTATCTATCTATCTATCTATTCATCCATCTATCTGTCCGTCCGTCCGTCCGTCCGTCCATCCATCCATCCATCCATCCATCCATCCATCCATCCATCTCTATCGTATCTGTCTGTCTGTCTATCACTATTTATCATCTATCTACCTATTGTATCTATCTATCATATCTATCTATCACTATCTCTATTTATCATCTATCTGGCTATCTGTCTGTCAATCACTATCTCTATTCCTCCATCCATCCACCTCTATCTATAAACATGTATATGGCCACCCAGTCACTCGCGGTGTCTTGAGTATTATTTTACAAAAGAAATAAAAGCCCAACAGTAATCCCCTCCTTTTACTTGAAAGTAGGTGAAGGGAGGAAAGAAGGAGGATAAAAGAAACCCGCAGAGACCTTAGCTCAGTGACCTTGACCAAAAGAGAGAGAGAGAGACAGACAGAGAATGAGAATGAATTCAAAACGGCCATAAAGCAAGTCCCACCCAGCCTCTTCCCTGCTCTGCTGCTAGATCACTTGATCTATAAATCCTGAACAGCCCAAAGAAATGTAATTTCCACTCACAGTAGCAGGTTCCTTTGAGAGGGTTACCCTGGTATCGATTCTCGACTTCACACCTGGAGGAAAAACAGCATTAAAAGAATTGGCCCCTGGTCGTAATTCTTTCAGGTACACGAAACTTTTATTTCTTCCCTTTGATTTGTACCCAGGAAAAAATCTGAAATAGCAGCAGGGGTTTTTTTTGGAGGGGGGGGGGTGAGGAGTGGGGGGGAGTAGATAAAAGTCAGAGTGATCTTCCCTGGCTTACGACCCAATATCTCCACTGCACGTCAGGCACTGAACCAGTGGTGGGATTCAAAGTTTTTTACTACTGGTTCTGCGGGTGTGGCTAGGTGGGTGTGGCAGGGGAAGGATATACTGCAAAATCCCCCTTCCCTCCCCACCCTGCTAACCTGCTTTCCAGCTCCCTCCTCCTGTGCAGGGCAACCAAAGGAGACCCAGCCGATCAGCTGGGATTCAACGGGAGGCAAAGAAGAGATTGGGGTTGGCGGGGCCAGTCAGAGGTGGGATTGGCCGGTTCTCTGAACTATTCCAAATTTCCGCTACCGGTTCTCCAGAACTGGTCAGAACCAGCTGAATATACCACCTCTGCACTGGGCCCAGCTGTTCCTCCTCTTCCTCATCAGCCACCTCCAGACCTGGGGGCTGTTGACTCTCCACCCTCTGCAGAGGGGATGGAGCCTCGCTAGCAGCGGCGGATCTTCCGTCCCGAGGACCAGCCCATAGATTCCCACTGCTCTCCTCTCCTCTGCCTTCTGCACATCCACCCATCAGGCACTGGACCCAGCTGTTCCTCCTCTTCCTCATCAGCCACCTCCAGATCTGGGGGCTGTTGACCTTCCATCCGAGGGCTGATGGACGGCCCAGGCACCGCCTCTATCTCCGACAGCTCCGTTCCCTCTGGCCGACAGGCCACAACCAAAGGGGGCTTAGGAAAGGGAACTGTGATGGGTACTCGGGTGGTTTTACAAAAAGTAGCCTGAACAACCATTTGACCGGGATGGTATAAGCTCTCCTGCCTTGAGCACGGGGTGGGGGTGGGGGTTGGGCTGGATGACCTTCGAGGTCCCTTCCAGACCTACGATTCTGTGTTCTACGAGCGGGAAACGGACTGATCTCTGCAGCTGCAGCAAAATCATTCACACGACCCAGCTAGGCCAAACCCGAACCTTCTGGGATTTCCTCTCCATGACTTCGCCACGCAGAATTTCACGATGAAAAGTCCTGCAAACGGGCAAATAACTTCGCAGGCCGCCTGTAGGACTTTGGCATGCGATGCGGAGATGGTGTGGAATCGACTTTATTTTTTTCCCCCCCAGCAGGGCCTCTGTAACCACTGGGGACTCTCCTGGTGCAGAATAACAAAGTTGGAAGGCACCTCGGAGGTCATCTAGTCCAACCCCCTGCTCAACCAAGAGACCCTATACAATTTTAGACGAGTGGCTAAAAAAAAAACCCCTAACCCGAATCATTCTGGATAAATGGTTGTCCGATCTCTTCTTAAAGACCTTGCAGTGATGGACCACCCACAGCTTCTGGTGGCAAGCAGTTCCACTGGCTAACTATCCTCCCTGTTAGGAAGTTTCTCCTTAGTTCTAAGGTTGCTTCTCTCCTGGATGAGTTTCCATCCGTTGCTTCTCGTCCTGCCTTGAGGGGTGCTTTGGAGAAGAGTTTGACCCCCCCTCTTCCTTACGGTAACCCCTGAGATATTGGAAGGCGGCTATCCTGTCCCCCCTAGTCCTTCTCTTCCTGGGGCTAAACATAGCTAGTTCCCTTAGCAGTAGTAGTTTCTGGTGCACGCAACAACGGCCGTATCTTGACAGTCACAGCACGTCCACCCCGTTCCCTTGCATTTGAGGAGGTGTCCTATGGATATGAAAAAAATGCCATTTCTTCTTAAGGGCAGATGAAGCTATAAAGGGGATTAAATAACCCTCTCTGACAGCCCTTCAAATATTGGAAGACTGCTATCCTGTCACTCCCGGTGCTTTTCGTTGCTTCTTTATTAAACTAGACATACCCAAATGCTCTGGCCCTGGTCCGCTTTCTCTGTCTGGAAAGTCAGAGGTGGGCGGGTGAGGGGAGGGGAGGTGTCATATGAGCATCCAGATGAGGTTTTGGGGGTTTGGATCTCTCAGCCTGGCTATTTTCCTGCAGACGTTTCATTACTCAAACTAGGTAACAACATCAGTGCTGGAAGGGAGTAGGGGAAGACAAAGGAAAAGGAGGAGGAGAGGAGGAGGAAGAAGAAGAAGAGGAAGAAGGAAGAAAGAAGAAACAAGACGAAACAAGAAGAAAGAAGAAGAAGAGGAGGAGGAGGAGGAGGATTGTGGGGTCCTTGATGCTTTCTGAGCTTGGTGGTTTTCTTGCAGATGTTTCATGACCCAACTAGGGAACATCAGCAGTGCTAGAAGGGAGTGGGGTTTGCAGAGAGGAGGAGGGGGTGGAGGTAGAGGTGGAGGAGGAGGAGGAGGAGGAGAAGAAGAGGAAGAAGGAAGAAAGAAGAAACAACAAGAAGAAAGAAAAAGCGAAGAGGGAGGAGGGAGGAGGAGGAGAAGGAGAGCAGGAGGAGGAGGAGGAGGAGGAAGGAAGGAAGAGAAGGAGGAGGAGCAGGAGAAGAAAAAGAAGAGGAGGAGGAGGAGGAGGAGGAAGAAAGAAGAAACAACAAGAAGAAAGAAGTGAAGAGGGAGGATGGAGGAGGAGGGGGCAGCTATGGAGCTCCTTGATGGTCTCTGAGCTTGGCAGTTTTCTTACAGACATTTCATGACCCAACTAGGTAACACTATCAGTCACTACTGTTACTACAGAGCTGATGATGTAACCTAGTTGGATCATGAAATGTCTGCAAAAAAAATAAAAAAAAATCAGAGAGCACCAAGGACCCTACAGTCCTCCTCCTCCTCCTCCCACACCCTACTCCCAGGGGTGGGATCCGACAGGGTTAACTATTGGTTCGGTGATTTCTGATGTGCTTCTCTGCAGGCTGCGCGCCCACCTGTAAATCGTCATCAGCACGCTGCGCGCAGAGAAGCAGCCTTTCAAAAAGCCCCTTTTTTTCCTGCTTTTTTAACTGCAGCTGTGCCTCGTACGGCAGCTGAAGTTGAAAAAATCAGGAAATAAACGTCAGGTAAGAACCCGGGCAGGCAGGTGGGCCAAAACATCAGCAGACATAGAACCGGTTCTATGTCTGCTACTCTTCAGAGCTACCGCTTCTGCAGAGGTGGACAGAACCGGCAGAAACCCATCCCCGCCTACTCCCTTATAGAACTGATGATGTTCCCTAGTTGGGTCATGAAACGTCTACAACCCACACCCCCCCCCAAGCTCAGAGAATCCCTTATTTCAATCTAGAGCTCCAAATATTCTCCTTTATTGCCCCTTCGGCCACCAAAGGGCAGAAGTGCACGGAGCTGCGGTCTGCCCAGGTGTTTCCAAGGTGCCACTCACAGCTGGCATTCTTCTCCTTTGATCCCTTTGGTTGTGCAGAAACACTTCCCGGTGTTGGTGTTGCAGATGGATGCGTGGCCGTTGCACTTGCAGGCTGCAAGAGAGAAAAAAGGGGCATTTCCCACAGGATCAATACAGGCCATTCGGAAAGGAGGAAGTCAACGAGCGGCACGCAAATTGGGCAGGCGGATTTTCTCCGGCAATGTGTAAGGAGTCCTCGTCTTACAACCGCAAAGTTGGGCCTGGCATTTGGGGTTGCTAAGCCGGATGGTAGCTAAGGGAGTTGGGCCCCGTTTTATGACCTTTTGTTCTGACCCAAGCCTCGTTCATATCAAAGAAACACAAAGTATAAATAAAAGCAAGCCTTTTTAATGTGTCTCTTTGAATTCGGTTCCTTCATGGCAAAGAGTCGTTGAAACAATTGTCCCAGATAAGAGGAAGCCTTGCCAAGGTTGTGCAAGGCTGCCAAGAACACTAGATAAAGTTGCCAAGAAATAGTTCAAATACAAGGAGTCTCCAAAAACAAACTAAGATATTCCGAACGTCCACCAGGCTTCAGTGCAAAAACGTCTTTGCTTCCTGCAAAGAACTCCGGTTTCTCCGCTGGCTTTTATCCCTTAATGGAGGGGCCATCACCTTGCAGCCTTACTCCTGAATCACCCATGCTGCTGCAGCTGTTCTTTCCTTTGAGCAGCCCTGCGCGCGCGCACACTTGGCACAGGCTCCTTGGGGGCCTCTTCCTCACTGCTGCCAGCCTCCACCATCTCCGAAGGCAGAACTCCCCTCCCTGATGGTCCTGGCCCCATTCCTGCATCCCACGCAGGCCCCTCATCCGAGTCCTCGCTTTCCGAGACCTCAGCCGTCCGCACCTGCTGCCGTCAAACCAGAACACCTTTCCTGCCACAGTTGTTACGTGAATCATTGCAGTTGTTCAGTTAGTAACCCGGTTGTTAAGTGAATCTGGATTCACCATTGACTTGTCAGGAGGTCGCAAAACGGGGACGCTGTGACTGTCATAAATATGAACGCATTGCCGAGTGTCTAAGTTTGATCACATGACCACAGGTGGCAGCTATAAAATAGACATAGAAGTCAGCGAGCTGTCAGGATTCCGGCAGTTGCCCCCATTTAAATCATGAGACTTGAGCCAAACTTCCAAAACTTCATGAAGGATTTATTGGGAGTTAAACATGTCGGCACTGCCTGGGTGTAGCCAACTCTGAGACACATCATTCATTGTCCCCCTTGACCCTGGTTTCCCCACCCCCTGTACCTCCTGGGTGTGTCATAATTCATATTCTCCAATGGGACACCTCCATAGCCCAGAGTCATCAATCGGGCTCTCCAGTTAGAATTTTGCACAGCAGAAACTTCAGTCACCTAGTTACTATCTTTGAAAACATTGATGGAATGCACTTTCAGTTTCCAAGCTGCTGCGCTGCTCCCCGCTCCCTTTCCGCTGGCAACTCTAAAACGAGCAGAGAAATGTTTAATGAGTTGACCACAGGAATACTGCGATGGCCATAAATGTGAAAAAGTTGTTAAGTCCCTTTCTTCAGTGCCATTGTAACTTGGAACGGTCACTACAGGAACCGTTGTAAGTCGAGGAAGAAACTGTTGTAAGACTTTACAGGGTGTTTTCTCCTCTTAACGGGAAATGCAGAAAAAAGTGGTGGATTTGCGTCTACACGCTAGGAATGTTTAGCAACCCAGATCTGAACGGGAAAAGGCAACCAAGATATTAGAATAAACAAGGGTGGAAGGGACCCTGGAGGTCTTCTAGTCCAACCCCCTGCTCAGGAAGGAGACCCTATTCCATTCCAGACAAATGGTTATCCAGTCTCTTCTTAAAGGCCTCCAGGGATGAAGCATCCACAACTTCCGGTAGCAGGTAGTTCCACTGGTTAATCGTTTCTCACTGTCAGGAAATTCCTCCTTGGTTCCTGGCTGCTTCTCTCCCGCATGAGTTTCCACCCCGTTGCTTCTTGTCCTGCCTGTTAGGGGCTTTGGAGAAATAGCTTGACTAGGCTTGAGAGGATTCCAAGCATGCGGTGGGAAGAAGGCACCTTGCGGCTTCTGCCAACTGCAAATTGCCACACAACGTGTGCAGAGCGGGACAGGGGAGGAAAAAGAGAGAGAGGGAGGGAGGGAAGGAGAGAGAGAGAGAGAGAGAGAGAGAGGAGAGGAATGTTCCCTTCTTCTCAAGAAGCCATGACTTTGATTTGCAAAAGTTGTCAGCCCTCAAGGCTGCAGAAATAAGCTTTTAAGCGCGTCAACGACACCTGCCAGAAAAAGAACAGGAGAGGCTACATTGTGATTGCCGGAAAACAACAGCCCCCGCGGGCACATTATACCAACACGGGCACCGTCGCAGCCCGAGGCTGATCTGATCGTTTTCAAAGACGCCGAGAGAGAGAGAGTGTGTGTGTGCACACCCAGCCGATCACTGCATTGTGGGTTCCGCTCCTGTGTGGATACATAGTTCTTGGTTTGTTCTGTTTATCTGTTTATTTAATAGTTTGGGAAGAAGCATATTGTTCTTCCCAAGATCGTGATTAAGCCCACGCTTAGTTAAAACAACGCTTGTTTTATTTCAATACGGGGAATCTAGTTCATTCCCGGCCGGTAATGAGTCCCAAACAGTTCCTCGAGATAAGCACCCACCTTTTCTTTCCTTTGAATGGCTGCCAATAACTAAAGTACCAAATGAACTATAAAAAAATCCAACCCAAGTACAAAGTCTACACAGAGCTTCAAGGATTAATCCGAACAGAATGAAGGACTTTGCTTCCTGCAAAGGTTTCGTCATCTTGGCCTGACTTTTCTCCCTTACGGGAGGGGCAATCACCTCCCAGCCTTACTCCCGAGTCGCCCCTTTTGTCCCAGCTACTCTTGCCTTCTGGCAGCTCTGCGCACACACGCACTGGGAACAGGCTCCCCTGGGTCCTCTTCCTCACTGCAGTCAGATACTGGAGGGTCCAAAGTCGGCATGTCAGCCTCAAGATCTCTTTGGCTACCCTAACTGCTATCTATCTCATTTATCTCTCCCATATCCTATCTACTGTATCTTCTCTACTGCTAGGCTTAATTCTTTCGGCTGTCATTAGCAACGGGGGGAGGGGTAATTGTGGGGGGAAGAGAGCTGGAGGTGTTTTGCATTCCTTTACTGTGGGTAAGCAAAAGGAGGGGGGGTATGATTTCTTCTTTTCAACTTTCCATTTCCTTGCTAGCTTCTATCCCTTTTTGCGCAGCTGCGAAGTCTTATCAGAATATGTCAAGGTCAATGGACAGAGGCCTTATCACCACCTGAAGATGCCCACATGATCATATTCAGAACTTTTAATTGGAAGAGACTTCTGGACTTTGGGGGGGTGGGAACAATTCCATTCCTTCGTATATGTGATCTGCGTGCCAAATTCTCCGTTTCGGAATTCCATCTGCAGCTTCCACTTTAACTTCCAGTAAAAGGATAACTTTGCTCTGATCCATGGAGTCTGGGTATTTCTTTCTTGGATTTTGAAGGGAGCACACTCTGACAGTCGGCACAGAACTCCCAGACGGCCCTGGCCCCATCTCTGTATCGGATGCAGGACCCTCGTCCGAGCCCTTCCCAGACTCCCGGACTGGCCCGTGTTCCTCCCCACGGTCCGATTCTGCTGCCGTCTGTGCAGGTTGCCGGCGAACCACAAAAGTTTCACTTCTCATCCAAGAAGCTTCTTCAGCTCAGACAGGATGGTGGGTAAAGTTTTCCTCTTAGTCATGTCCGACTTTAAGGCATGGCACTCGTCTGTTTCTCGGCCGAGAGAACCGACGTTGTCCGAAGACAATTTCCGTGGTCATGTAGCCAGTGGGACGATACGCTGAGGCACACGGAATGCTGGGACCTTCCCACCAAAAGTGGTGCCTATTTGTCTACTCGCATTTGCTCGCTTTCGAACTGCTAGGTAGGCAGCAGCTGAGACCAGGACGGGAGCTCACACCGTCTGCCGGCTCTCTAACTGACAAGCTCAGCATCTGGAATTTCTGCGCCAACTCAGGAAGCTCAAACTGCCCAAAAGGAGCTGCTGATCCAGTTCTATAGAGGAATGATGGAGTCTGTCACCTGCACCTCTATATCGGTCTGGTTTGGGTTCTGCAACCCAACAGGACAGACACAGACTTCAGAGGATAATTAGGATCACAGAAAAAACAATTACTACCAACCTGCCTTCCATCAAGGACCTGTATACTGTCAAAAAGAGGGCTGTGAAACTATTTACAGACCCCTCACATCCTGGACATCAACCGTTTCAACTCCTACCCTCAAAATGACGCTATAGAGCCCTGCACACCAGAACAACTAGACACAAGTAGAGTTTTTTCTCCAACATCATCACTCTGCTAAACAAGCAATTCCCTCAACACTGTTCAACTACAAAGTTTGCACTACTATTATTGTTAATCTTCTCATCGTCACCCATCCCCTCCCACTTGTGACTGTAGGACTGTAACTTTGTCACTTGTAGCCTTACAATCTATATTGACGGTTTCCTAGTATGATTTGATTGCTTATTGTACCCTTTGACTATCATTAAGTGTTGGACCTGATGATTCTTGACTCTGGACAAATGTATCTTTTCTTTTGTGTACACTGAGAGCATTTGCACCAAAGACAAATTCCTTGTGTGTCCAACCACTCTTGGCCAATAAAAGAATTCTCTTCTCTTCTATTCCATTCTATTTTATTCACTAATCTCTCTTCTCTTCTCTTCTCTTCTCTTCTCTTCTCTTCTCTTCTCCTCTCCTCTCCTCTCCTCTTTAACCAGAGAGCCACCTGGAGTAGCAGTCTAACCTTCTCAAGAGTAAAAGGACACTTCACTGGTTTTAGGAACTGACGTGACAAGAGTTATGGGTTTGTTTGTTTTTTCTTCAAAACATGGCCAGTGCAGCTTGTCTTTTGAGGTTATAAACCAGCCACAGCAAGAATTTTGCTTGGTTTTGCTGTTTCCCTTCCACCGCCCCTCCTCCAGTTAATGACTCTGTGTAAGCTATTTTTAAGGGGCCTTTCTGCCTGAAAAGCAAAACGCCTGCAAGGAGTGGGGATTCTTAACAAGGTGTGCCACGCAAGCCTCTCTTCTGCCCCGAGAAGTCGCTATCAATTTAATCAGTGAAGGAAAGCAGGCATTCTTCCTTAATTAAATTATGCACAGGCAGACAATAGCCGGGCCATCGTTTTCAGAGCAAGCCAAAAAAAAAAAAAAGGGGGCTCTCCAGACAGACAAAACAATGGTTAGGCACCAAAAATACCGACTGACAAGCAGCCAGCTTGTCGGTCCCTGGTGGAACGGTGCCCTCCCTGCCAGCCACTTCACCGACGGGAGAGAAAAATCAAGGGCACATAAATAAGCAATGCCGTGGGCGTCAAATTAGAAGCCATTTCCTCAATCCGCCGAATTTCATCGAGAACTGCTTGGCCCGGCGGTCTTTAAATTATTGAGTAGGGAACACAGGCGCCCCCCGCCCGCACCCCCACGCTTGATTACCGCCGCCTGAGAAGAGCCTCGCGACGGCTAGGTGGGAAAGGCACAATTGCTCGGCGCTGGTCTGCAATCAGAGAGGAGAGGAAGGACGGGACTTACGCTGGCAGGTCCCTCCGTTCGTGGGGTCTCCATAGTAACCGGAGATGCACGTCTCGCAGTGTTTGCCGGTGGTCAGGTTCTCGCACTGCTCGCAGATGCTCTCGTTGACACATTTGCTGTGCCCGTTGCACTGGCAGGCTGGGGACCCCAAAAAAATAAAGAGGTGTGATGACCCAAAGGGGGCGTGGCACAAAGGCAACACAGACACATAAGTAAGGAGAGACCCTTTAATACTTCCAATTTTGGCCCCCATGTCCAGGTTACCTTCTGGCTGGAGAAAAGAACAGCCTTTAAGTGGAGGAAATTCGGTCCGAAAACCAAGTAATTAAACATCCAAACAAACCAGGCTGCAGTAATTAACTTGAGAGGGCAGGAGAAGGAATTGCAGACTTGAAAGGCCAGCAAACCACACAGAGTTGGGAAGATACCAGGAACCCAGATAAGTTTCAACGATACCAGATCATTCACGATTTTCTCCCAACAACGTGCTATGTGCAGTTCCCAGCTGCAGCAAACAAAGGGAATCAAGGCCCTTTCCTCCCCCGTAAGCCATCCAACTCATGTTGCTCCCTTCTCCGTTCCTGTGTGCCCTAGGATGCAGAGGGACTGGGCCTGCGTCTTCCTCTGAACTCCCTCTCCCTTGTTCTACCTCCCCCCTGCTCTGCCCAGCTGGCCTTTGCCCTTCCTCAGTTTCTTCCACAGCCAATGGAGCCACATTCCCACTCCCTGTCAGCTGTTCAGTCCTCCCCCTCCGAATCAGATTCCGACAGGGGCATGACACGACTTCTGACAAGCAACAAAGGGGACTGATAATGAGAGCTGGCCCTGGAATCAGGGGTCTGATGAGACTGGGTCTGCTTTCTAGGCTCCAGCTGGGATGAAAGGAATGTCCTAGAGCAGAGCTGCACCGACCCAGAAAACGAAGATCTGTGGACTCCCTATCCCAGAGTTTCACAGCCAGCCAGCTTCTGAAAACTGGGGAAAGGGAGGTGGATTATGTGATCACCGAACTCGTGGGTTGATTCTATTCCAAGAAAGCAGCATATGGTTTTCAGAGGGTGGGACTCTGAATGGGGGAGTGCGTAGTGCTCTCTGCGCCTGGTTGATTGCTTGTGTCAGGATTCCAGCCATCGCCCGAATTATATCATGATTCCCGAGCCAAACTTCAAAACGGATTTGAAGGATTCGTTAAAGGTGACATAGTGGCCCTGCCCGGGATGAAGCCAACTCTGGCCTGCGTCATTTACAGCCCCCCTGAGACCCTGTTTCTCCCTTTTTCCCCCCAGGTGCGTCATCAATCAGATTATCCAACTGAACACCTTCACGGGCTGGGAGTCATCAATCACATTCTCCAATTAAATATATTCGTGGGCAAAATCTCTGGTAATTTAGCTACAATCTTTTAAAGAGAAGAGTTGGGATGTACTCTCGCTTTCCAACTGCGGCATGGATCTTCCAGATTTCCTTCCTCCACACACCCCCTTTTTTTATGGCAACTACTAAAACAGGCATAGGAGTGTTTTATGAGTTGACAGCTTGCAGACATTTCATGACCCACCTAGGTAACATCATCAGGGCTAAAAGGGAGGAGGAGTTTCTCTCTCTTAATACACTAGTGGCTTCTCTTGCCAATGTTGGAGAGGGCACGGTTTTCTCCTTGGTCGTGCCTGGATTGGGGGGGGGACCACTGAATTGGGGAACTACCCAGTTAGGGAACTTTAGCTGCGGAGGTGCTTGGTGCTGTCTGAGTTTGGTTCGCTTGCAGACCCAACAAAGTCGGAATCATCCTTGCTGTGATAACAACACATTCGCCAGTAAGATCACTAGCATGGATGATGTTGCCTAGTTGGGTGGCTAAATGTCTGCAAGCAAGTAACTAAGGTCAGAGAGCACCAAGGGCCCTGCGGGGTTTTTCCTTCTCTTCCTCCCTCCCTGTTCCTTCCTACCACGGATGATTTTCCCTAGTCGGGTCATGAAACGCCTGCAATACAACAACCAAGCTCAGAGACCTCTCTTCCTCCTCCTCCTCCTCCTCAGCCTCTTATCCACAAACCCACTTCTCCACTGATGATGTTACCTAGCTGGATTAAAAAAAAAAAACTTAGCTCAGGCAGCACAAAGGACTCCACGGTTCACCCCTGAGCTCCAGAGATTCTCTTCTCTTGGTGCTCTGAATTGGGCCTGGATCCCCTGCTCCGGCCACTTCGAATCAGCCCCTTTTTCGATACCTGGACACTGGATAAAGGACCAGTTGTATTTGTTCTCCGTCTGGCACAGGCTGACATCCAGGATCGGGTCCGGGTAAGGTTTTCCCGTCGAGGGCAAGGAGGCCGCCGGCATCTTCATCGGAGCTCTGGAAGAGCCTTCCATGCACCGGCCCTTCCCAGTGTTACTGGGATCCGTGCACCAGCCGCACCCCGGTTGCTCCAGGCAGTGGCTGCAAGTGAAGTAGCCCGAACAGTTTTCAGCTGAGGGAAGAAAAACAAAGCAAACTTGTTAATTCAAGGCGACGGCGCACCCAGCAGACTCGGACGGTATAGCGAGGAGACTGGGGAGGAACCTGGGCCAGTCCTGGAGGCCGAGGAAAGCTCGGGCGAGGGCTCTGCATCGGAGGCAGAGATGAGGCCAGGGCAGGCTGGCAGCAATTGTCAGCTGCCTTCGGAGTCGGGAATCAGGGAGGCAGAAGAACAGCCGGAGCCTGTTCCCGGTGTGCGCATGAGCAGAGCTGCCAGGAGAAGGGAACAATTAAGAAGTCAGGGTCGACATGGGAGTAAGGGGCCAGGTGGACAACGTAGGGCCCCTCCCCTAGGGATGAAAAGAGGAACAAAAGGGAAGGGAGCTTTTGCAGGAAACGATTCGTTCATTCGTTCGAGCCTCGGGAAGATCTCTCTGTCTAAGCTAGAGACTGTGTGCCCAGCCCTTCCTTGTCAGCACTGCGCGTGGAAATATTTACTGGGCATCTTTCCAAGATAGAGAAGGTCGGAGCGAATAATTATACCTTTGCAAGACTGTTTGCCGGGCCGTTGGCTAACTGGGAATGCAAGAAATTCACATGCATTGAATCAAAGAGGTTTTGCCAGGACACAAGAGTTGGCTTAGTGCTCTTTGGGGAAGTCTAGGTCAGAACACAAGGACCAAAATCTTCAGGCATATCCCAGGCACCAAGAGAAGAACTGAGCCGTCTTTCAGCTTCAGCCTCCTTTCTCCCTGTTCTGACCACCACCCCACCCACGTTCTTCGTTTGGAGAAGCCAGAGTTTGCTGTTCAGTAAATCAACGGCCACAAGTGTGGAAAATGGTCATAAGTCACTTTTTCCATTGTAACTTTGAACAGCCACTAAACAAACTATTGCTAAGTCAAGGACTACCTGTACATGTAACTCAGAATTGAAATGAGGGGGTCCTTCGTGCTCTCTGAGCTTGGTGGTTTTCTGGAAGACGTTTCATGACCCAGCCAGGGAACGTCATCAGTTCTAGAAGAGAGGGAAATACATGGAAAAGAGGAGGAGGAGGAGGAGGAGGGGGAGGAGGAGGAGGAGGAGAAGGAGGTGGTGGTGATGGGAGAACTGTAGGGTCCTTGGTGCTCTCTGAGCTTGGTGATTTTCTTGCAGACGTTTCATGACCGAACTAGGGAACATCATCAGTGCTAGACTGATGGCATTACCTAGTTGGGTCATGAAACGTCTGCAAGAAAATCACCAAGCTCAGAGAGCACCAAGGACCCCGCAGTCATATCCTCCTTTTCCTTTTCATCCTCCCCCTCCTCCTCCCCCTCCCCCTCCTCCTCCTCGCCACCAACTCTACTCCATTGTAGCACTGATCATATTGCCTAGTCTGGTCGTAAAATGTGTTCCAGAAAACCACCCAGCTCTCAGGACAGCAAGAATCCCACACTCTTCCTCTTCCTTCCCCCTCCTCCTCCCCTCTGTAATCTTCACTCCTCTAGCACTGATGATGTTACGTAGCTGGGTAATGAAATGTCTGCAAGTAAATCCCCAAGCTCAGGGAACATCGAGGACCCCACCGTCCAATTTCTCCTCTTCCTTTTCCTCCTCCTCCTCCTCCTCCTCTTCCTCCTCCTCCTCTGCCAACCCCAACCCCTTCTAGCCTGATGATGCTACCTAGCTGAAAACGAACCCCCCCCCCAGCTCAGAGAGCACCCAGAGGTGCCCCCTGCCTTTCCTCGGATGCCCACCGGCCCCCCAACCCTCCCTCCTGATCCCGGCCGAGAAGAGAGGGGGCTCACGTGGGCAGCTGCTGACGGTGTGCCACTCCATGCACTGGCCGTACGGGAAGGAGGCCACGTAGGCGTTGGAGTCGACGCACTGCTTCTTGTTGCTGCACCACATGCACTCCGAGTTGCTGCTGGTGCACTCGCTGCACGCCGTCCTCAGGCCGCAGGGAGTGCGGCACTGCTTGGCGCTGTGGTTGGCTGCAGGGGGGGGGGAGAGAAAGACACGAGGATGCGGCACGGGGGTGAACGCAAGCGCCTCTTCCCCCACATCCGCCGCACGTCAGGCGCAAGTAAGATCGGAACCTAGGAGCCTTTTTCGGGTGGCCGAAAAAGACCCTTTGGGTTACTCGAGTATGAGACGCCATCCCCGTGATGGCGAAGCCATGGCGTGCATGCCGGAGGTGGCATGCGGAGCCTTCTCTGTGGGCACATGAACCGTTGCCCCAGCTCAGCTCTGCCGCGCGTGCATGCCCACCTCCCACCAGCCGGCTGGTTCTTCTGGTCTCGGCTGGCATGCAGGGGACGTGTTGTCCATGTGCAAGAGGGGAGGACAGGGCACATGTGTGGAAAATGCGCACTGCATTTTGGAGGTGCGCACACGGGCTTTGGGGCACTCCAAGGTTAGCCATCGATGCCCCGTGCCATTCGAGACAAGTGGCTGTCCAGTCTCTTCTTAAACACTTCTAGTTTTAGGCAAGAAAAACCCAAAGGACACAGATAGACTGGGTGAAACCAGCCTATATGTGTCCTTTGGGTTTTTATTTTTAATTTCTTAGTTGGTTTAAGCCAATTACAATCCTGGATGATAACACAGTGCACACTGAACCCTCTAACAAAACACAGCATGAAGGCGGAAGAACTTATGTACAGAATTAATGCATAAGAACAACCCAAAGGACCCATATAGACTGGGTGAAACCAGGCTCAATAGCAGGAACTGGGAGAGGGATCTTGGAGTCTGAGTGGACAACCAGCGAAATAGGAGCCAGCCATGCGCAGCAGCAGCCAAAAAAGCCAACGCAATCCTAAGTTGCATTAACAGAGGGATACAATCGAGATCAAGGGAGGTACTAATACCACTCTGTAAAGCCTTAGTAAGGCCACACCTAGAGTGCTGCATCCAGTTTTGGTCACCACACTATAAAAAAGAGGTTGAGGCTCTAGAAAAAGTGCAGAGAAGAGCAACCAGGATGATGAGGGGACTGGAGGCTAAAACATATGAAGAACGGTTGCAGGAACTGGGCCTGGCTAGTCTAGGGAAGAGAAGGACCAGGGGAGACAGGAGAGCATCTTCCAATATTTGAGGGGCTGCCACAGGGAGGAGGAGGAAGGGGTCAAGCTATTCTCCAAAGCCCCCAAAGGCCAGACAAGGAATAATGGATGGAAACTGACCAAGGAGAGATTCAACCTGGAAACAAGGAGAAACTTTCTGACAGGGAGAACCATCAACCCATGGAACAGGAGTTGATTTCAGAAGTGGTGGGTGCTCCATTGCTTGAGACTTTCAAGAAGAGACTGACTACAATCTTCTTCTCTGGGCCAGGTCTCCCTTCCTTAATTTCCTCTCAACCCCTCTTCATCTCTGCCCACCAAGTCAAGGGTGAGATTCTACCGGTTCATACTGGTTTGTGCAGACCGAGAGTTCCGGTGAGCCTTTGGCCCCGCCCACCGGCCCCTGCGCTTCCCCTGCGCTTGACTTCCTTGTTTTGGAGCAGAGCTGATTCGCGCGGCAGAGTGGTTTGGCCGCGCCTCAGCTGTTTTACTCCCCGGGGCTGCAGTAAGCATCACAGCTGAAAATGGGCTTTATGAAAAGAGTCGGCACACGCGCTACGACCGAACCGGTTGTTACGCTGATTGAATTGCACACACTGCACTAACTCTTGAATGTCCTGTTCTGTTATCAGTGACGGAGCACCCACAACGTCTGGTGGCAGGCTGTTCCACTGGTTCACTGTCCCCCCTGTGGTAAGAAGTTTCTCCTTAGTTCCAGGTTGCTTCTCCTCCTTGGTTAGTTTCCATCCGTTGCTTCTTGTCCTGCCTTTTGGGGCTTTGGAGAATAATTTGACCCCTCCTCTTCTTTGGGGCAGCCCCTCAACTCCTGGAAAGCTGCCATCCTGCCCCCCCCCCCTTTGCCCCCGTATTCCTTCTTTTGTCTAGACTGGCCGTACCCAAATCCTGCAATCCCTCTTCGCGTGATTTTTTTTCCTCCTTGGATTCGGGGTGTGCGGTTCTGCGCCCTCCGCAAAGGTGGATGCAGGTGGGCCGTCGGCCAAAGACGAATGAAGCTGAGCGATACGTTACCTGGCCTTTCGCAGACGCTGCCGTTGACCAGGTTGATGCAGGTGGCGGCCTTCAGGCCTTGGTTGCTGGGCTCCGCTAAGTAGCTACAGAAGCCGATGTCGCTGGGCTCGCCCGGGAGCCACCGGAGCAGGGTGTTGGTAAAGGGGGACATGTCTTCCCAGCACCAGTACGAGACGTTGATCTTCCGCAGCCCGACCCAGGGGGTCAAAGCTTTGGGCTGGGGTTGAGGAGAGGGAGGGAGGGAGAGACAGAGACAGCTGAGCCATCACTGCAGGATGGCCGTGGAGATTTTCTCAACCATCCAGGTCTCCTGGTTGTCCCAAAATTGTTTCTGCAAGACGCAACTGGACTTCGTTTGTTTTTTCTTCGAAGACATTTCCCTTCTCATCCCAGAAGCTTCTTCGCTTCTGACTGGATGATGGGCAATGGAGGATTTCGACTCCTTGCAGACCCAACTGGTCATTTGCATCCTTTTAGAGGGTCCTTGAGGCCACTCGGAGGTTTATCCCTGTCCTCAGGGTCGGCTGAGTGGTGCAAATGGGTGTGGAGCCTCCTTGGGGCTGATGAAGGACCGTGTTGTAGAACTGGAGATGGGTCCTATCCCTCCCCTTCTGTTGAGGGAGGGCTGCTCAGTGTTGAGACAGATGGTCTCTTGGAGCCCCTCTTTCAAACCAGAGCTCCTCTCTGTCCAGAATGTGGACTTTGCTGTCTTCAAAAGAGCAGCCTTTGCCTTTTAAATGCAGATGGGCTGCTGACTCTTGCCCTGATGGCTTTGTTCTCATGTGTTGTGCCACGGGCGTTTGTGAAGGGGCTGTTTTGTTTCTCCTGTCTACAACACAGTCCTTTTAGCAGTTCCAAGGACACAGATAAACCTCAGTGACCCTCTAAAAGGATGCAAATGACCAGCTGTCTGCAAGGAATCTAAACCTTCCCATTCCCCACCATCCAGTCAGAGCTGAAGAGCTCTGATTTGAACTGGGGGGCCCTTGGGGGTGGGGTTGTTGGGTTTTTTTTGCAGGCATTTCATTTAGCAAACTAGGTAACATCAACCCTGTTTGGAAAGGAGTGGGGTTTGCAGGGAGGGGGAGGGGAGGAGGAAGGAGGAGGAGGAGGAAGAAGGAGAATAAAAAGGAGGAAGAGGAGAAGGAGGAGGAGGAGGAAGAGGAAAAGTTGAAGGAGGAAGAGGAGGAAGGAAGAGGAAGAGAAGTTGAAGGAAGGGGAGGGGGAGGGGGAGGAAGAGTAGGAAGAGGAAGAGGGATGAGGAGAAGGAAGAGAAGGAGGAGGAGGAGGAGGAAGAAGAGGAAGAGGAGGAGAAGTTGAAGAAGGGGAGGAGAAGTAGAAGGAGGAGGGGGAGCAGGAAGAGGAGAAGTTGGAGGAGGAAGAGGAGGAAGGAGGAGGAAGAGAAGTAGTAGAAGGAGGAGGGGGAGCAGGAGGAGGAGGAAGAGAAGTTGGAGGAGGAGGAGGAAGAGGAGGAAAAGGAGAAGTTGGAGGAGGAAGAGGAGGAAGGAGGAGGAGGAAGAGAAGTTGAAGGAGGAGGAAGGAGGGAGGAGGGAGGAAGGAGGGAGGAGGAGGAAGGAGGGTTCCACATAGGTAACATCATCAGTGCCATCTCCCTCCTTTTCAGCGCTGATGTCGTTGCCTAGTTGGGTCAGGAAACGTCTGCAAGAAAACAGCCGACCTCGGAGAGCCACCCAGGACCCCGCAGAGCGACTTGGGTTCTAAGTGCTAGTTCAAAGCTACGTTGCATTTCCAGCGGGGGCCGCCCACCCGCTGGGTATTCCTGCTCCCCCCCCCGCCCCCCCGGGCTGAATCCCGAGACGGGCCCCCGGCCGCTCACCGAGGACGGGGTCTTCTGCAGCTCCTTCAGGAGGAACTCCACTTTCTTCTGCGAAGTGAGGGAGGCCAGAGCCGCGTTGTGGCTCCTGCAAGCCAGCTTGGCATTGTCGTAGCTGTCTTTGGTGTTGGTGATTCTCAGGCAGGAATTGCCCACCAGGTGCCACGTTGCCCCACAGATGTTTTCTGTAAAATAACCGGGTGTAAAATGTATAAAACAATCACCCGCAATTTCCTTTCTTCCTTCCCTGGGATTTGGGTGGATAGGATTAGGGGTGGGATGCCAGCCTTTCGGACCCGTTCTTATAGAACCGGTGGTTGTGATTCTGCGCAATTCAGAGAACCGGCAAATCGTGGACCTGGCTGGGCCCGCCCCTCTCCGCCTGCCCCTCCGTTCCCCTGCCCAGGCAGCCCTTATCGTGCATGTGCAACATGGCACGCGTGCCCGACATCGTTGACTGCCTTCTCCTCCGTCCAGCCGCTCCTAAAGGTATTTCTTTCCCCCCCCACTCGCTGTCTTACTGCTTTGCGCAGGAGAAAGGAAGGAAGGAAGGAAGGAAGGAAGGAAGGAAGGAAGGAAGGAAGGAGAGGACAATCAGCTGTTCTGACGATCAGCTGTGCCTGGGTCCCCCTCACTGTCTTACTGCTTCACTCAGGATGGAGGCAGGGAGGGAGGGAGGGAGGGAGGGAGGGAGGAAGGAAGGAAGGAAGGAAGGAGGGAAGGAAGGAAGGAAAGAAGGAAAGAAGGAAGGGGAAGGAAGGAGAGGATGATCAGCTGTGCCTGGGTCCCCCTCACTGTCTTACTGCTTCACTCAGGATGGAGGCAGGGAGGGAGGGAGGGAGGGAGGGAGGGAGGAAGGAAGGAAGGAAGGAAGGAGGGAAGGAAGGAAGGAAAGAAGGAAAGAAGGAAGGGGAAGGAAGGAGAGGATGATCAGCTGTGCCGGGATCCCCCTCACTGTCTTACTGCTTCACCCAGGACGGAGGCAGGGAGGGAGGGAGGGAGGGAGGGAGGGAGGAAGGAAGGAAAGAAGGAAGGAAGGAAGGGAGGGAGGGAGGGAGGGAGGGAGGGAGGAAGAAGAAGGAAAAAGGAAAAAAGAAGGAAGGAAGAAAGAAAAAAGGAAGGAAGGAAGAAGGAAAAAAGAAGGGAGGAGGAGGAAGGAAGGAAGGAAGGAAGGATCAGCTGTATTGATGATCAGCTGTGCTGGGATCCCCCTCGCTGCCTTACTGATTCGCCTGGGGGGCTTCCCTAAGGCCCAGAAGGCCCCCAAAATGGGGGTGGGGGGGGCTGCAAAAAAAAAAAGGGCCACACCCACCCAGGCACATGACCACAGAACCGCTTGTTCCAACATTTGAATCCCACCCCTGGACCGAAAAGAGACAATTAGCAAACCACAAACGCCGTGCTTGATGGCTTAGACCAGCTTTGCTCCGCCTCGGATGTACGGACTTCAAGAGCGGTGCTTTGGCCTAGAGGCGGGGCTCTCCCCTCAGAATCAGGAGGCTGTGAGTTCGATCCTAAGCAGAGGCAGATATTTCTCTCTCCGGGCACAAAGAGCATAATATCTGCTGAACAAAACTCCGCACAGGCGACAGGAAAGGCACCCGGCCATTACATACCCTTTGCTAGCTCCATTCAGCAAGGGATTGTGGGGCCGCTAAAAGATGATGATGAGATGCGTGGACCCTCAACTGGCTAGGGAATTCTGGGAGTTGAAGTCCACATAGCTTAAATTTGTCCATTTTTTTGTTCCCAGACTAACGTATTTACAGGTAGTCCTTGACTTACAACCGTTCGTTTAGTGACTCCTGAAAGTTACAACAGCACTAAGCAACATATAGATCTCAAACCTGAAATATTCCTATTAGGAATGATAGCAGAAAGTTATCATAAAGGAAAGGTTTATTTAATTATACATGTTTTAGCAGCGGCTAGAATTGTATTTGCCCAAAATTGGAAGAGTGATAAAATACCGACAGAGGGAAAAACAATTGAAAAAAATATTTGAATGTGCAGAAATGAATAGATTGACACTGGAAATTTAAAGAAAAAAGAAGAATCTGAATATTAGTGGATATGGAATCAGTTTTATCAATGGACAGAAAGTAGAACCAATTAAAAGGGATTTGAGGTATTTGTAAAGTAATTAGAGAAATTAAGGTAATAGATATATGCGATACTATTGTTTATATGGGAACGTGATTATTGATGCATTGTTACATTTGATAAGAAGAATATCATTTAATAATTAAGTTAAATAATTGAAAGATGCACCTAATTGATGCACGACTGAAATAGAATGGATTTGTTGTATATAAAATAACTATTAAAAAAATAATTTTTTAAAAAAGCCGTAACAGCTCTGAAAAAAAGTGACTTGTGTCCACTTTGCACATTGTTGCGGCATCTCTTTGATCAAAATCCCAACACTTGGCAACTGACACATATTTATGACCACTGCTGTGTCCCGAGATCCCGCGGTCCCCTTTTACGACCTTCTTGACAGGTAAAGTCAAGGGGGGGAAGCCAGATTCACTTAACGACTGTGTTCCTAACTTGACAACTGCAGGGATTCACTTAATAACCGAGGCAGAAAAAGAAATAAAATGAGGCAAAGTTCTCTTTAACAAATGCTTTCCTCAGCATCAAAAAAAAAAAATGGGGGGGGGAATTCAATGGTGGTCGTAAGTCTAGAACTGCCTGTATGTCATGCCCCTGTCGGAGTCTGAATCTGAGGAGGGACCCGAACAGACGACAGGGAGCGGGAGTGTGGCTCCGTTGGCTGTGGAGGAAACTGAGGAAGGGCAAAGTCCGGCTGGGCAGAGCAGGGGAGAGGTAGAACAAGGGAGAGGGAATTCAGAGGAGGACCCAGGCCCACCCGCTCTTCATTCTAGGGCACGCAGAGAGGAACGGAGAAGGGAGCAACGTGGGTTGTGTGGCTTATGGGGGAGGAAAGGGCCCTGATTCCCTTCATTAGCCATACCTGGGAATGAGAGTTTAAAAGAGATGCAAGCTGAGAGCAGCTGCTACTGGGAGCAAACGTGAGTTTATCTTGTGATGACTGTGGTTATCTGTGTTCCCAGCATCCGCCCAACCATGTTGAATTACTGCCGGTCCTTCACATCTGGAATTCCTTCTCTTGCTCTGCCAGACTAATTACCTCATTTTGCCTTGACTGGACTTTAAGTTACAGTTTGTTTTTACTCTGTTTTGGACTTGATTCTCTGCATCTAAAGGCTGTTCCTGTGAGAGTTTTTCTCCAGCCCAGAAGGTAACCAGGACATTGGGGGCAAAGTTGGAGCTAATAAAGGGACTCCTACGGATTATCTGACTGTGTGGCCTTTGTGCCGCGCTCCCTTGTGTCATCACACTCTTATCTTGGTTTTCTTTTTGTTGTTGTTGTTGTTTCTTTCAATGATTCATGAATTTACTTCCATTTTGGGTCATTCTCTCATTTCTTCCTTTTTATTGTTGTAAGCAGCCGAGAGGAGCCTCAGGGGTGCAAACGAACTTAACCAGTGGCGGAGGAATGAATAAAAGATGAATTTTCAAAAAAGTTTTGTTGGCATTGCAAAAATAAAAAGAGAGGACAGATTGTGAAGCGGAAAAAAAAAAGCCGCAACCTTTTTATGTGGGGCTGAAAAGATGCTCAGTGTGAGATTTGGGTTGGGGGGAGACTCAGATGGCTCTGACACTAAGAGGGAATCTGCCCACAACCCAAGATGGCCCTCGACTTACGACCGCTGGTTTAGTGACCGTTCGAAGTTACAACGGCACCGATGGCCCATTTTCACACCTACGACCGTTGAGGCATCCCCATTGGCCACGTGAGCAAAATTCAGAGGTTCCTACTTATGACGGTTGCTCCCATGTATGACGGTGTCCCGAGATCATGCCATCCCCTTTTGCAACCGTCTGGGGAGCAAAGACCACGGGGGAAGCTGGGTTCACTTAACAACGGCGGTGGTTCACTTAGCAACAGTGCCAAGAAAGGCCGTCAAAGGAAGCCGAATGCTCTTAACCGCTGTCTTGCTTAGCGTCTGAAATTTTGGACTCAACTGTGCCACAAGCCGAGGACGACCATCCAATTCTTTTCGGAAGGTTCAACAAAAGCATCCACTGGAAGCTTTCAAGAGGAGGCTGGACTGTCAGAAGTTGTGCAGGGTGTGGGTCAACTCACAAAACATGTCTATGGTCTCTTTTGAGAGTTGCCAACAGGAAGGGAGGGGGAGCAGTGCGGCAGGTTGCAAACCGAAAGCGCATTCCGTAAATGTTTTCAGAGCTAGTTCCCAGGTGACTGAAGTTTCTGCTGTGCAAATATTTAAAGGGAGAACAGGATTGACGATTCTGGGCTATGGAGGTGTCCCATTGGAGGATATGGATTACAATACACCCAGCGGATGCAGGGGAGATAAACCAGGGTCAAGGGTGACAAGGAATTACGTGTCTCAGAGTCGGCTACAACCAGGCCCTGCCGGACCTGGTAATTCTCCATAAATCCTTTGGAAGTTTGGCTCGAGACTCATGATTTAAATGGGGGGGGGGGGGGCTGCCGGAATCCAGATAGCCTGCCTGGACCGGGGGTGGGGGGCAGTGTTGGACTAGATGACCTACAAGATCCCTTCCAACTCTGTTAATCTGTAAGGTACCGGAAAGGGAGGCAAAAATGGCCCCGGGGGGTGGGGTGGCGGAGGACGTGCAAACGCAAAACCCACCAGGCAGAGCGATGCACTCCTGATTGCGGGCTTCCCACTGGCAGTTCTGGTCCAGGCTGCAGCTCTTGCAACTGGTTCTTTTGTTGCAGTAAAAAGCAGGGTTGTCCTTTGGGCAGCTTTCCAAGGAAGTAACGGGGCTCTAGAAGGAAAAGAGAGCCGGGTGTGATTGAGAGAGAGAGAGAGAGAGAGAGAGATGATAGATAGATAGATAGATAGATAGATAGATAGATAGATAGATAGATAGATAGATATAGATAGGAAGGAGAGAGAGAAAGAGGGAGAGAAAAATAGACGGAGGGAAGGAGGGAGAGAGAGAGAGAGGGGGAGAGAGAGAGATGATAGATAGATAGATAGATAGATAGATAGATAGATAGATAAATACCACTTTTCCCCCCTTCCTTTCTCTCCTCCCTCCCTCCCTCCCTTTCCTTCCTCCCTTCCCCCTCTCTCCCTCTTTTCTTTCCTTCCTTTCCTTCTCCCTTCCTTCCTCCCTCCCTTTGTCTCCTTTTCTTCCTCCCTCCCTTTTTTCCCCCCTTCCTGTCTTCTCCCCCCTCCCTTCCTTCCCCCTCTCTCCGTCTTATTTCTTTCCTTCCTCTTTTCCCTTCCTTCTTTCCTTCCTCCCTCTTTCCTCCCTCCCTCTTTTCCTCCCTTCCTTTCCTCCCTCCCTCCCTCCCTTTCCTTCCTGCCTTCCCCCTCTCCCTCTTTTCTTTCCTTCCTTTCCTTCTCCCTTCTTCCCTCCCTTTGTCTCATTCTCCTTTTCTTCCTCCCTCTTTTCCTCCCTCCCTCTCTTCTCCTCCTTCCTCCCTTCCTCCCTTCCTTCCCCCTCTCTCCTTTTCTTTCTTTCTTTCCTTCCTTCCTCTCCTTTTCCCTTCTTTCCTTCCTCCCTCTTTTCCGTTCTTCCTTCCTGTCTGCCCCCCTCTTTCCCTCCCTTCCTCGCTCCCTCCCTCCCTCCATCCATCCTAGAACTACAAAACAGGGTCAATTGCCAGAGAGCCTTTTTCTCCCGCAGAGGCCGCGACAAAGAAAGCGGAGAGGGTTACCTGGTCTTCCGAGCAATTTCTGTTCTTGGACAGGCACTGGTCAGTGCACCAGTGACACCAGTTGGTGTTGGCCATGCAGCTGTAGCAGTCGGTGATCTGGTCACATTTTTCGTGGTCCACAGCTAGGCAGAGAGAGAACAGGCCGCAGCCGTCAAACCCTCCCGTGATTAATCTCCACCCGCTGCTGACCGACTGACCACACGGCTTAACTTCTCGGCCCCAAAGGATGCCAACCAGTAGCAGATCTGCCACTCGGGGCCACTCTCCCTGCCATTTCAACTGAAGCCACCGCCTGAATTGTGTTGATGTGGCAGGAAAACTTCCTGGTGAACAAAATCTTGGCTCCGATTCCAAATTTCAAACTTTCAAACCTTCAAACTTTCAAACTTTCAAAATTCAAAATTTCAAACTTTCAAAATTCAAACTTTCAGATTTCAAAATCTCAAAATTTCAAAGCTAAATCCAAATCCAATCCAATTAAAATTAAAATCAAGGACCCCTCCAAAATTTGGTTTTCCATTTCTTACTCCAAAACAGTAAACGCGACGTCATAAAGGAGTGTGTAAGGACAGTATTCCTTCACCTTGGCCCCTTTAAGACCTGGGGACTTCAACTCCCAGAATTCCCCAGCCAGCCATGGCTGGCTGGGGA